AGTCTTGGGGATCATCAAGATGTTTTCTGACAAAACTGAGACGAGTCTTTGTTCTTTTTGCTCAGCAGCGGTTTTCTTCTTGGAACTCTGCCATGCAGACCATTTTTGCCCAGTCTCTTTCTTATGGTGGAGTCATGAACACTGACCTTAACTGAGACAAGTGAGGCCTGCAGTTCTTTGGATGTTGTTGTGGGGTCATTTGTGATCTCTTGCATGAGTCGTCGCTGTGCTCTTGGGGTAATTTTGGTCGGCCGGCCACTCCTGGGAAGGTTTCTCCACTGTTCCATCTTTTTGCCATTTGTGAATAATGGCTCTCACTGTGGTTCGCTGAAGTCCCAAAGCTTTAGAAATGGCTTTATAACCTTTTCCAGACTGATAGATCTCAATTACCGTATTATCCCGAATATAAGACGATGTTTTTTCCTTGGAAATAAATCTGAAAAAACGCGGTCGTCTTATATTCAGGGTCTAGACTTTGACATGTCAATAATACACCCACAACAATAGGTGGTGCCAAAACCGCATAAAACGAGTGTGCCATGAAATACTAATGTAATGCATGTTGTAAAAATCGCGAGTGAAAACAAAAGAAAAAGAAAACCTTACAGCTGCATGAGTCGTGACTATCACGTTAGCCTGATAGGACCAACTCTACTTCTACTGTTAATAAGATTTTGGTAGGCTACTATTAGATTGATGGCCTAAATGTCCTAATTCAGATGGGCTACCTTTTTTTTATTTTTTTTATTTTTTTTTATGGTATATCAAAAAGTGTTTTTTTTTTTATGTGATTGTTGGTACATTTTACCGGTTTTTACCGTACTTTCAAAACAAAAATTAAAATAGGAAAAATGTGCAATGTGAAAATAATTGAAGACAAAATGTGTTTTACTGAGAAAAAACAAGATTTGTTTTTTAAAAAGCCTTTTTCCAAAAGGTACATCTGAAAAAAGGGGGGTCGTCTTATAATCAGGGTCGTCTTATATTCAGGCCAATACGGTAATAAAATTCGATATGAATATCCCACATTTCTGCCACAATACCATGGTGCAGTTAGTGTTTACTACACTGTAAAAAAAAGACACCCCAGGGTGTCGTGGCACCCCTGTTGGGGGCACTGGGCTTTATTGGCCCACAGAAGAATTTTGTTGAGTTGGAAATCCGCTACTCCTCCTCCTGTGACAGATTGGCTGGAAGATGTGATGTTTTTTTTTTAAATTAGAAAAGATCAAATTTACACTAGGGGGATCTGTGGACAGGTTTTACTCGAAATGGGAACCCTTTTTGTCAT